AGGGTGTCCCCGTGTGACGCGCTGTCCCCCAGGGCCACACCAAGGGCCCGTTCCTCGTCAGCGCCCCGCTCTCCACCATCATCAACTGGGAGCGCGAGTTCCAGATGTGGGCGCCCGCCTTCTACGTTGTCACCTACACCGGGGACAAGGACAGCCGCGCCATCATCCGCGAGAACGAGTTCTCCTTCGACGACAACGCCATGAAGGGCGGCAAGAAGGCCTTCAAGATGAAGGTGGGTGTGGCAGGGGACACCTGTGTCACCTGGGGGGTGGCACCTGGGTCACCTGGGTCACCTGGGGATGAGGGGGTGGCACCTGGGTCACCTGGGGGGTGGCACTCAGACACCTGGGTCATCTGGGGGATGGCACCTGGGTCCCAGGTGTCACCCGGGGGGTGGCACTCAGACACCTGTATCACCTGGGGGGTGGCACTCAGACACCTGGGTCACCTGGGGATGAGGGGGTGGCACCTGGGTCACCTGGGGGGTGGCACTCAGACACCTGGGGGGTGGCACTCAGACACTTGGGTCCTTTTGGGAATGAAAGAGTGGCACCCAGACACCCGTGTCACCTGCAGGGCAGGGGGTGGCACCTGGGTCACCTGGGGGGTGGCACCTGGGTCACCTGGGGGTGGCACTCAGACACCTGGGTCCTTTTGGGAATGAAAGAGTGGCACCCAGACACCCGTGTCACCTGCAGGGCAGGGGGTGGCACCTGGGTCACCTGGGGGGTGTTTTGGGGTTCTGGGTGTGTCTTTGTGGTATTTGAGGGTGCCGTGCAGGGATCTGTGGGATTTTGGGATGCGGGCAGGGTTCTGTGCGGTTTTGGGTGGGGTTCTATGGGATTTTGGGCAGGGTTCTATGGGATTTTAGGGTTCTGGGCAGGTTTTTGGGGTATTTTGCAGTTCTGGGTGTGTTTCTATGGGATTTTGGGGTGCCAGATGGGCTCTGCTGACCCTCTGGGTCCCTGCTGCCCCCACTGACTGCACTGCCCGGTCCCGGTTCTGCCGGCAGCGSGAGGCTCAGGTCAAGTTCCACGTTCTGCTCACGTCCTACGAGCTCATCACCATCGACCAAGCGGCGCTGGGCTCCATCCGCTGGGCCTGCCTGGTGGTGGATGAGGCTCACCGGCTCAAAAACAACCAGTCCAAGGTGCGGGGGCACCCCAAAAACCGGGGATACCCCAAAAACCGGGCATGGGCATAGGGGATACCTGAGAACCACAGGATGGGCATGGGGGCACCCCAAAACCCAGGGGGTATCAGGGTAGGGGGTGATGGGTCACTGCCTGGTGGTGGACGAGGCTCACCGGCTCAAAAACAACCAGTCCAAGGTGCGGGGGCACCCCAAAAACCCGGGGATGGGTATAGGGAATACCCCAAAAACCATGGGATGGGCATAGGGGATACCCAAAATCCGGGGATGGGCATAGGGAATACCCCAAAACCCGGGGATGGGTATAGGGAATACCCCAAAAAACCATGGGATACCCCCAAAATCCAGCCATGGGGGTCAGGAAGGGGTCAAGGGGGAGGCTCTCCTGTATTTTGGGGTGTCCTGGGAGGTGATTGGGGTTTGTGTCCCCGATTTGGGGTCTGAGCCCCCCGACCCCGCAGTTTTTCCGGGTGCTGAACGGGTACAAGATCGAGCACAAGCTGCTGCTGACGGGGACCCCGCTGCAGAACAACCTGGAGGAGCTGTTCCA